GTAACCTACTGTTATCACCATTACCTCATATCATAACCTACTGTTATCACCATTAGCTTATATGGTAACCTACTGTTATCACCATTACCTGATATGGTAACCTACTGTTATCACCGTTACCTCATATTGTTACCTACTGTTATCACCATTACCTTATATGGTAACCAACTGTTATCACCATTACCTTATATGGTAACCTACTGTTATCACCATTAGCTTATATGGTAACCCACTGTTATCACCATTACCTCATATGGTAACCTACAGTTATCACCATTACATCATATCGTTACCTACTGTTATCACCATTGGCTTATGTGGTAACCTACTGTTATCACCATTACATTATGTAGTAACCCACTGTTATCACCATTACCTGATATGGTAACCTACTGTTATCACCATTACCTGATATGGTAACCTACTGTTATCACCATTAGCTTATTTGGTAACCTACTGTTATCACCATTACCTGATATGGTAACCTACTGTTATCACCATTACCTCATATCGTAACCTACTGTTATCACCATTAGCTTATATGGTAACCTACTGTTATCACCATTACCTCATATCGTAACCTACAGTTATCACCATTAGCTTATATGGTAACCTACAGTTATCACCATTAGCTTATGTGGTAAACTACTGTTATCACCATTAGCTTATGTGGTAACCTACAGTTATCACCATTAGCTTATGTGGTAACCTACTGTTATCACCATTACCTGATATGGTAACCTACTGTTATCACTATTAGCTTATGTGGTAACCTACTGTTATCACCATTACCTGATATGGTAACCTACTGTTAGCACTATTAGCTTATGTGGTAACCTACTGTTATTACCATTACCTGATATGGTAACCTACTGTTATCACCATTAGCTTATATGGTAACCTACAGTTATCACCATTACCTGATATGGTAACCTACTGTTATCACTATTAGCTTATGTGTTAACCTACTGTTATCACCATTAGCTTATGTGGTAACCTACTGTTATCACCATTACTTCATATCGTAACCTACTGTTATCACCATTAGCTTATGTGGTGAGCTTTGGTTATATTTCATTAAGATTCTTTTTAGGCTCTCATGGCCTTTATGTCTGTTTTTGATGAAAGTATGCAGACAGGAAATGGGATCAGATGATCGGGTTGGTATTACGTCTGGCAGCCGTGACTCGAACCAGCACCTGTGCTGTATTGTAATAAACGCAGATCCAAGTCTGCAGCCGTTTTCCTTTGAACACTCTCAGCGCGTTTAAAGCCGCTGACCTGGAAGTTGAACTTGGCCTGAAGCTCCTCAGGGTCTTTGGGTGTCCGCAGGTCTTCTAGACTCTTAGCCAGCGGGGCAGGTTGGCAGTCTGGTTCCTCCTGGCATCTGAAAATGTCCCCCAGGAGGTTGAGGTTGGAGAACCTTTCATTGACGGGGCTGGGAGGTGCAGTATGGCTCTCTGCACCCACACCAAACTCATCTCCTTCCATTAGCTCCACCTCCTTTAGGGAGCGGTAGGGCTGGGGCCTGCAGACAGGGAGGGGAGGGAGTTTGGTCATTGCACTTTGATTTCAAAAGTTTTACCAAAAAAGGACCATCGGCCTTTAAGCTCGAGGACAAGAGAGAAAAAGCAAAGGATGCCGAGTCCTGACTTAATGTGTTTTACAGCTAGAAATTAGTACAGATTTCACTGGGAAATAGGAAATAAATGGAAAATTCATAGAAAGAGATGCATACAGAGGTGACCAGTCAAAAGGCGCAGAGAAAAGAAAGCTGTCAGGGAAGCCAGATATGGACTCTTCGTCATATTGGAGCTCGTCTCCAGATGAATCCTCAGAAAGAAACACGGTATAGTGACGAGTGGGACGGACAGAGCTAGAGCGGAGAGAGAAGACAGCATTTAAAAGACATCAGAGGTCAATGAAAGCTTAAAGAGAGGCAGGAAAGTTAGAAGAGAAGGATCCGGAACAATCAGTTTCAGACTGAGCTTAACAGAACATGCATGCATTCATTCATTTATCTGAGAAACATGGAAAACAATCACTGCTGTCACTGCTGTGAGCTAGCTACAGCAATACAAATACCATCCCCACATTAAGGCCACACCCTGCTGCTATATATGAAACATGCTGGCCTCCATGGAGATGCAGAACTAGACCTTCCAGAACCTTCATGGTGTGGATGAAAAGCAGATCAGTTCATTGAACTCCTGCAGTGGGATTCACTAAAGCTGCAAATAACCGCCCTCATTATTATCAGAAGTGATTTTAAGATCAGGAACTTCTTAGACAGAAACCAGTGACCAATGAGAAAGGGGCCTTCAGCCACCGACACGGTGATGGAGCATCTGGTCATCTGGCTCCTGCAGGGCGACACTTTAGTTTCTGAACAGTCTGTAACATTGCAGTTAGCTTTATTATCTAGTGTTTATCTGCAGTTCATGTATTTTTTGACTCTGATCGTTTCAGTGACTGTCATTTAAACTTCTGAAAGTATATTAATGTTATTTCTTTAAAAAAAGAAATGTTTCCCAGAAGGTTTCCTGAAAATTACAATTTGAAAAACTTCACTGTTGTCAAAAAATTTTGTTTCTCTTAAATCATATATTCATTTATGCTTTTTTACACACTATAAAAGTTTTCACTTTGTCTGTTTCACCTGCAAGGTCTCATAATTTGTAGACAAGACAAACCTTCTTCCCTAAATTAGCCAGATTCTTTCTCAGGTTTATTCATAACATGTTAATGTTTAACCAAAGTGTAATTTGCTTTTGACTACTTTCTATTGTTGTAAGTAAGGAGGGATGAACGCTGCTCAGATCAGAACAGGGCTGATTACTGTGCAATAAGGACCGTATGATGAACTGATCTCTCTTTGCACAGATATGAAAATAAAGTGCCGACTGAGTGAAATCCATTGATCTCCATTTAATTAACTGGAGTAAATAGTTGAATACTTTTTTCCCACTACACTCACCAAAAGGCAGAAGGTTAAAGATGAACAGCCATAAACCCAACAGGGAACAGAACACACGAGGAGAGTTCAGAAGAAAGATGGACTTACTGCTCACAGCTGCTCTCCAGACTCACATTACTGCTGGGCCTCTTCAGTAGTGTTGGAGGCTGGGCCTGCAGACACGACAGAGAAAAGATGACTCAGGCTTTCATTCTCCAGCTTCATCATGTGTGGAACGACCAGAACTCCAAACACTCAGAGCATGGCTGGACCAGACAGGAGGGGAGGAGCTGAAGCTCTCACTGCTTCCAGTGGATGATTTTACAGAAAAGAAGCTAACTAAGCTCCCAGGAAGGGAGGCTGAAAGCAGGACAAGCTGATGGGATGTAGAGACGCAGAACAACAGGAGGTTGACATCTGAAAATGGAATATCTACGGAGCAGCCCTGACCAACGCTTCACCTGTCCAAAGTGCACAGTCACTGGCCGGTGGCCGTCCCATGTTCGCTCAGCTCCACCCCTCAGGACCGTGGCGGCGGGGAAAGCAAACTCTGCGGTGCTGTCGTCATCATTCCCTGCTGACCCAGGGGTGGCGAAGCCGTTCTCCCCCTGCTCCTGCAGGAGGAGAAAACATCGACACGCCATGTAACAGTCAGAAAAAACAAACTAGAGAGCAGCTTCCTGGATCATTTCTGTTTGAACGTCTGGAGATGTTACAGGTTCCAACCGACAAGGAACAACGTGAATTTAGCAGCAAAGCAGAGACCAGCAATCAAAGGAGATCTGCTGCTATGGTTCCTGTCCTGTTTTCTGTTCTGTTGGTTCAATAAAGACTCCAAATAAAGCCAACGTCTTTACAAACAGCTCCTCAAAGCTCCAACCATCGCAGCACAAGTTTCTACAGATTTTAGATCATTGTGCAAAAATGAAGCATTTAAAAACAGAAAAGCAGCAGAAACTGAATCTAAAGTTGGAACCTTGTCTGCTAGTTTAACCTCTTTAAGCCCAGAGGGGCTCAGGAGCAAATTCCACCTGAAATTAGGGATGTGAAGTTCAGCTCCCAAACTATGAATTAGAAAGACAATTGTTTGTATCTGTGTGATAGAAAGGCATTGAGGAATATTTATCAGGTAGAACCACTATTTTAAACGTCACCATGTCTGATTTATAGGTGATTAAACATATAAAAAATATTTTGTCTCGCCAATTTTTTTTCTAAAAGAA